AGCCAGCGCAGAGGAGGGGATGTGGGCACAGGTCACTTCGGGTGGAAGGGGACAAGTGGCAACAGGGCATAGCTCCCGCTCCCAGTGCTGCCACACCCACATCCCGTGTTTCTCCGCGTCAGCTGGCAAGTGGTGGCAGCAGCCGCCCCCCTGCACCGGCTGGCAAGTGGCAGCAGGGCAGAGTGCCCGCTCCCAGCACTGATGCCGGCACAGTTTAGTCTCTGGCTGAATGTCTGAAGCGGCACCATATTTTTCAGATCCGATTTGGCCAAATCGAATCATAACAGTGATTCGAATCTCTGAATCCAGGGTAGGAGCCAGCATCACTTCTCTTGGAAGTTGGTTCCAGATCCTAGCCGCCCTGACTGTGAAGTAGCACCTCCTGATGTCTAGTCTGGATCTACCCTCTGCCAGCTTGTGACCATTATTTCTTGTCACTCCTGGGAGTGCTGGGGGGAACAGGGCCGCCCCCAATGCCTGCTGGTCCCCTCTGACTAGTTTGTAACCAGCCACTAGATCCCCTCTCAGCCTTCTCTTGTGGAGGCTGAACAGGTTCAGGTCCCGTAGCCTCTCCTCATAGGGCCTGCCCTGCTGCCCCCTGATCATGCGGGTGGCCCTCCTTTGGACCCTCTCCATGTTGTCCACATCCCTCCTGAAGTGCGGCACCCAGAACTGGACGTGGTACTCCAACTGCAGCCTGACCAGTGCCGTGTAGAGGGTGAGGATCACCTCCTTGGACCTGCTTGAGATACATCTGTGGCTGCACGACAAGGTGTGGCTGGCCTTCCTGACTGCATCCCCACACTGTTGGCCCATGTTCATTGTGGCATCAATGATGACTCCCAGATCTTTTTCTGCCTCTGCACTGACGAGAAGGGAGTTCCCCAGCCTGTAGGTCTGCTGCTAGTTCTTCCTCCCCAGGTGCAGCACCTTGCACTTGTCAGTGTTGAAACCCATCCTATTCTCATCCCCCCACCTCTGTATCCTGTCTAGGTCTGATTGCAGCCTATTCCTCCCTTCTAGCGTGCCCACTTCCCCCCACGTCTTAGTGTCATCTGCGAATTTGAACAGGGTGCTTTTTACCCCCTCATCCAAGTCACTGATGAAGATGTTGAACAGTGCGGGCCTGAGGACTGAGCCCTGGGGAACCCCACTGCCCACATCCC